TTCTTGAATGTTCCCCTTTATCAGCGGTCACATGGGACAGTAGTGTGTGACTCCATTTCTCCCCATCACTCTGACTCTGGGTTTTTGCTTCCTATCACCCCTCTGTCAGTGCAGCAGGGGAAATGGAAAACTGCTGTGGGCTCCCTCTCTGCCTGTCCCCGATTCCTAGCAAGAGACTCTGCACCAGGCATTTCTTACAGTCATTCCTGATATATGCAGGGAACAGGATCAGGGACCCTCTGCAGATACCAAAATCGGGATGCTCAAGTCCCTCATATAAAAGAACATGATATTTGTGCAGAACCTATGCCCACCCTCCCATAGATTTCATTTTATTAGTTTTTTGTTTGCAGTACTGGGGGGTTGAACCCAGGGGCACTATAGCACTGAACTACACCCCAGCCCTTTTATTTATTGTTTTTATTTATTTATTTTGAGACCAGATCTCACTGTTACTGAGGCTGACCTTGAACTTGTGATTCTTCTCCTGCTTCAATCTCCCAATAGCTGAGATTACAGGCATGTGCCACCAAACACATGCTCTCCCATAAATTTTAAGTAATTTCTTGATGATTTGTAATACTTAATGCCATATAAATGCTAGGTGAATAGTTGTACCATATTGTTTAGGGAATAATGAGAAGGAAAAGGGTCCGTAGGTGCCGGATACTATTTTTTTTCCAAATAGTTTTCATAGGGGTTAGTTGAATCTGTGGCTGTAGAAACTGTGGATAGGGAAGGAAGACTGCCTATAAATGTCTGAATTATAAAACGTGACTTGAGGGCTGGGGATGTGGCTCAGTAGCAAGAGCGTTTACCTAGCACGTGCCAGGCACTGGGTTCGATCGTCAGCACCACATAAAAATACATAAATAAAATAAAGGTTAAAAATCCACATAATATTTAAAAACAACAAACTTGGGCGAGTGTTTTGGTCAGCTCTCTGCTCCCATGGGCTTGGCTGTTGCTCTCACAACCGGCCCAGGCTGGCTCTCAGACTTTCTGAATTCTACCTGAAGCTGCCAAACACCAAAATAGCTTCTGAGCATGTGATCTCAAGCCTGAGCTCGCAAATAAAGCCCCGGGACAGTCCAGAGAATTCTGCCCCGGACGTTGGAAGGGTGCAGGGGGGAGCCGGTCCTCGCCCAGAGTCCTGGTGAATGGGGGCGGAGCCAAGGCCTTTGGAATGAGAAGCCAGAGATCCAAATCCAAGGTCCAGCCCTGTCTCTGAGGACTTGGCCAGAAACTCAAGCTGTACTTTTCTGGCTGTTTTTGGGGGAAATCTGCACGTCGGCAGGGCACTTAGCCTGCGCTAGGGGATGCTGTGGGTACCAGGTCGCAGCTCTAACAGACACTTCCTGCTCTGGAAGGTCTAATCCCTTTGTCAATGGAAATGAGGAGTTAAACAGAAAGGCAGGGAGGAGAAAGGGGTGACTTCTGAGCTTCACCGCTAACAAAGTGATGGAACCAGGAAATGAGAAGGACCCTCGGTGTGGGTGGGGTAATTTCAGCTTGGGTGGGAAAGAACCCTTGCAGGAGGTGACCGGGAGATAGGTGACCTTCAGAGGAGGTAACCACCAGGGACAAGGTGGGGAGGGCCCCTGGGGAGGGAGAAGGAGGAGGAACAGTCCAGTTGCAGGTACCTGGGGGCTGTTCCAGGCAGAGGGCACAGTGTTAGGCCTTGGGAGGCAGCTGGGCTCCGGGACAGCGTGGGGGAGACGGGAAGCTGAGATCTCTGAGGCCACATTGGGCTGTTCCTTAGCAATAGCCCAATGTAGTCAGTGCTTTTCCTCTTTAATTCCGCTCTTCCCCTCAACTTCCTGGCCTGAATGCAGCTTCTGTGACCCCTTCCAAGTTTGAGAAGTGGCCCAGGGCAAATGGTCTGGAGCTGTGCCTTGGTTTCCCCATGTGCAAAACGCCGTGAATAAGCGGGTGGTGAACTGTCCCCGGTTGGTTCTTCCTGCTCCCAATTTGGGGCAGTAGGCATACAGTAGGCGCTTAATGTATACTGGCAGTACAAACGACCTGCGGGTCCGCGGCGCCAGGCTCCTAGACGGTCAGCTGCCACACCCCGCGGGGCGGACCAGCCCGCTGGCAGGTTGGGAAACCCGTTGGTGAGCGCCAGGCGGGCGCCCTGGGGCGCAGCCCAGGGTGGCGGCGTGCAGGATGCGCCAGCGACGTCTGGAGCCCGGGGGCGCGCACGCCGATCGGCCGG